GTTATTAATGGGTTTTCTGCCCATTTATTATGTTAACTTGTATTTTGAGAAAATATGTAGCAGTGTTACAAACCCAGCTTTAAATATTCAATATGTGGAATTCATTTGTCTGGCAGATACTAAAACCCTTCAGCAGTGATGAACTGCTTTCTCTGGTGTGTCCCAGCCTACCATAAATCAGCGCTGGCTTTGGGCCCGTGACGGTGAGTTATATGTATTAACAGTCTTGGGTCTCAGCCTATGTTCCCTGCCAAAAGTAGTGTATTTGTGACATTTTTCAATGCAAATTAGCAGCAGGTGCAAATTCACTTTCTTTTCTTTCACACTTTTGACTACAGCTTTTTCAGCACTGGGATGTTGACCAGAGAAATGTATTTGTGTACTAATTCAAAGAAGCATGAAGGTCTGTTTGCATTTACTCTTTGTGAAATACACTTGCTTGTTACTTACTCGGGACTGATTATTTGAATCGTGGGGCTGCATAAACACAGCACACTGTTGAAATATTTGCAAGTGAAACATTCTAGTTTAAAGAAAAAAATATACAGAAGAAGATGCCATAGGACGGAGATAATTTTGCAGGGTCTGAAGTGGTTTGTGTGAATGGAAGGGCTAGAGGGCCCTTTGGACTGCTGGTGCTTTATTTTCAGTGTAGGAAACATTGTGAAATTAATGATCAAAGTCAGTGCACAAATCATGACCTCACAAGATAAATCCTGATAGGAATCTGTTCTTCCAAAGATAAAGGTCTTTCATTGTCGCTTAGCTTTATAAACTACATTCTTGATGGTTTGTCATTGACTGACGCTTTAAGCCTGTATTTCCAGTTGGACAAATCTCCTAAAGTACATGGTTGAGGGCAATAAAAAATAAGTTTGATATGTGACTGAAAAATGAAAGAACTGCTACTTTATGGAATTCTATAAAGACGTCATAGAACACCTATTTGTTTGACCAATATGCGAAAAATTGAGGACTTGTGTTTCAAGATGCTGTTGATGTTTCTAAAATAGTCCCTTAGGATTTTAAGCACTCTTGATTTTTAGAATTTCTGGAGAAGCTGGGAGGAGGGAAGATGAAAAGGGAAAAATTCTGCAACTATCAATTTTCCAGACCATTCTCGCTTTTGTTTTTTAATCATAGGTTACTATAACTAAAGACAATAATATTTGATGTACTAAAGACAATAATACTTGATGTACGAGGAAAGCACCTCTTAATATTATCTCAATAATTACATGACAAATATGTAATTCACTTAATGTTTTCAGTAGCTACCAATCTTAATAGCAATCGTAATTTCTAGTCTTCATTTGTAGTAACTTCATGGAAATTGGGAAGTTACAGGTAGGCAATATATGAGCAAAAACGTCTTGCAGTGTCACTTAAAGTATTTGTTGCCTTTAGGAAAAAGAAACTGACATTTCACTGATGTGTTTGTAGTCATCAGCTCTTTAGTATGAATGAGTTGTCTGAACACAAATGCTTACAAAATATGGATCTAGTTTGCCTTTCAGTAAAGTTAGGAGAGCCATCTTGTTATTAATTTGATAGTTACAAGGGTCATCAGTTTTTTGAGTCTCTATAGAATATGTAGCTTGCCTGTATGTATGTCAGTTTGAAAAATAACTGCATTGGTAACAACTTTTAAGCCATATTGTAAGAGTGAACTGTATTTGACAATTTGAAATTTGAAGATGTCTAGTAATGGTATGAGATTTCTAGTCCTTCAGTATAAGTGTTCATCATACCACACTTTTTGTATTTCTTTATACTACCTCATACTTCCTAGATGTTTTCATATAGATCTCTGCCCTTTCTGTGATCCATCATGAAAGTCTTTAATTATGTGATCATCTTTTCTATCTTAAGCATGTAATTTGAATGAGAAATTTAAGAATTGATGAGTAGCAGAAGATTTTTGTGTGATATAGATGTGTGTCTTTATGGTGTTTTATCAGTGCATGTGTGTTCTTTCTGTGCTCGGAGCCAACTGAGAACTATTTCTATACAGTATAGTGTGGAGATAAATGTGATGTCAAGCCAAAGCTAATAAGCACTGCTGAGAGGCAAAGTGTATTAGCACAGTATTGAACCCAAGTTAATATATCAAGATGGCTTCCACTCACACTGTATGCAGAGCTGTTTGCATCTTCCTTCAAAACCCTGTATGGTTTACCATTAGTGGACTGGCTCTTAGGAAAGCCAGGTATACCTTATGAGAAAACAGTGAAGAATATTAAATACTACTTTCTATGTATTATGTGTAATTCTGGCTGCAGCAGTGTCTGCAAATACTGTAGCTGTCCACCTAACTGAGGAGCTTTAGCCTTTCCATCCTTAAAGAAGGTATGGTAATGAAAATGAAACTTGGCCTCTACATACTACACAGTAAATGTTTGTTCCAAAATACATAGCATGATTATAGTCAGCAGAAGACTTCTGAGCAGAATATTAGTAGTAGTCTCTGAAGGAGATGAGTTATTCTTTTCAATCTCAGAACTTCATAGTTTTCATACAGTGTCTCTCATATCAGGACCCTCATGTTTGTTTAGTCTTAATATTTTACCCTGAGATGTATTAAGGCATACAGACTGCAAAATATGAGGGTTGTGTTAGGTGCATGATGCTTGGCAGATCTGGAACTGATTTTTTAAAGCAAAAGTAAGTGGCTTTGCTGCAAGGAAAAAGCAGTGTCTTCCTTCGCCCCTCCCTCACTTAAAAGTAATACTAAATAAAAACCGGGGGATGGTGAAATCCATAGTCCTCGAAGGACAAGTGACTAACCATGTGAGTGTCCTGGGTTTGGCCAGGACAGGGTTAATTTTCACCAGACTCCAGGAAGGGGCACAGCCTGGGGGTGGGGGCTGACCCCACCTGGCCAAACAGAGCCCGGTATTCCATACCCTGTGATGTCACGCTGGGTTCCGGTGGGGGGGTGCGGCGCGGCAGGGACTCACTCGCGGCTTGGGGGGAGCGGGGGGAGGGGCGGCCGCGTGGCGCTTTTGTTGCCAGCGGCAGCCGAAACCAAAACAGTGAGTTACAGTACTATACACTTACTCTGAATATGTACCATAGGAGGGCATGACTTCTGGCCCTCTTTCACTACCAGTCCTTCACATTTAGCTTGGCAAAGTGAATCAGAACAGTAGGTCACTCTGAGATTAGTTCCACAGTGCCGCTACTTCTCAGTAAGACATGAATCATGCGATTTTGAGTAGTTCTGGCTTGTTTAAAGACTGTAAATAGTAGCAAAGATATGGCTGCAGACAAAAAAAAATGAATGAACAGTGATCTCTGAAACTATTGCTCTGTATGTAAATTGATTATATACAGGAGGAAGAAATAATACACTTGCTTTAGAAGTGTATTCTTTAAAAGGCATTTCTAAAATGCCTAGTTTCCAGTTTAGAATAGTTCAATATAGCTATTAATGTAGTCATTCTTAAAAAAAACAATTATGCTGACTGAACAGGTGGGAAATTTGTATGGAAGATGGTCTAAAATGTAGAATAATGCAACTGGTAACTGGTGTGTTAGATGTGCAGTGGCAGTATTAAAGTGATATGATCAAAATACTAATTACGGTTTTTGGTAGGCCTGTTGCAAATACTGTGATTTCTAAATTTCATTTTCCATATAATTGAGAAGTTTAAAATTAACTAACATTTCTGGCAACAGCATGGGATAGGTTTCTAATATCTGATATTTTTTCCTTTTTTATTTTATTTACAGACAACTTTAAGACTTAAAATAATTGTTACTGATTAAAATAATTGTGGTTAAACGTCAACAGGTTGCATCATGTTTTCCTAAATGAATGATTATATACTTTTTAAACTAGAATGCTGCTCTAAACATTTTAATGTGTACATTCTTTATGAACTCATGCATATTGTCACTGAATTTCTAGTTTATTTGCAGTGTGTCTTTGTATAAATTTTTTTAAACTTTTTCTCACATTCTGGTTGAAAGAGCTAGACTGTTCTTCACAAAAAGCTGCACTTACGTTGTCCTGGTCAGCATATTGTTTTTATCTGTTAAGAAAATGGTTGCAGGCTCAAAAAAAATCCAGTAATTCAAAATAATTTAATTCTGTAAGTGGTCTATGCCTGAACTGAAGCAAAGTATATCAGATAAATGAGACACAGTCTTTTGAAAGGATTTTTCTATGAGTTGACAAACACTTTCAGTTTTCACAGTGGAAGTGCCTGTTGTCTCTTGTGACTCGTTCTACGTGTCTTTGGAGACTGGCAGCTACCTTTTCTGTTCAGAGTCCTTTCACTTTCTGTTGACTTCAGGTGAAATGGCAGACACCCAGCATGATCAAAGAGGGCCGTGGGAGGCTCCAAGTGTCAGTCCCTTCACTTGGTTTGAGTTGTACTAATGATCCTCAAAGAAGAATGCTGAATGTGAAAGAAGATAATTTGTCTCAGAAGTCTCTGCCAAATATCTCTAGATGGAGTGGTTTCTATTGCAGCTGTTCCATATGTTTCTCTTTTTCTATATTAAATGTTAAACTCCTCTTTAATGGAGTATAATGTTTTCCAGTGGGCACTTGATAACAAAGAATAGTAAAAAAATGTGTATTAAAGATGATTTCGAGCATTTTTTAAAGCATGAGAAAGCCTACATCGTTAAAAATAAGGGCTGGCATAAAAGCACTGGTTTTACTTGGGCTGTAAGGAAAGGCAGCGCTGAGTACTTAGTGCGTGAAGAGAATGTTTTCCAAGACAGCATCATTATTAATATTTTTTTTATATTAATTCATTTGCAGTAGCACTCTGATGCAGTTGATATACATTCTGTACCCGTGAGAAGTATTTCCTAATAGTATTCATATCTTCTAAAATATGGTTGGGGTTTCATTATAGGATTTTTTCATGTCAACTTCTGTATAAGTTTTTTTGTGTTTTTGTTTTTTTTTTTTTCAGTGTAGTCTGTAAGTGTATTTACTGATTGAGAAGCTGAAATTATTTTCTGCCTGTGGAAGCTGAAAAATGTTCAAAAATCAGTATCAGGTAAAACAAATAGTTATATTTTTTACCCGCTTTCATTTCACCTCTGAGAGAACTCAAGTAAAATGGCTTCTTCAGATACAGAAGTGTTTTGAAATGCTTTGTTATTCAGTATTTTTATAGAAATGTTACGAAATAGTGGGTAGCTGCTGTTGCTGTCAGGTCTAGAATGGACACCAACATGGTGTTACCTTATTAACCAGGGAAGGCACACCATCTGCTCCCACCCAGTCATGGAAGCAGGCCCAGCTCTTAAGGTATAGTCAGACAAGGGAGGTTGGTTTATTCTCTTGATCCAGCACAGGGTTGTGACAACACTAGTCGCAGCATTTGCAAACCTTATTATCCCTTTTACTGTTTCTTAGCCTTCCTTTTCACCACGTTTTGCCTCCCTTTCTCTGCACCAGTCCCCTCCAGAGAGACCAACCCACTGCTAGTTACTTTTTCCCTGCTGATCCCAGGTGTGCTACATCTGTATCCAAAATTTTATTTCTGATGCTGTTACCTAGGCTATCTCAGCTTTGTATGGTATTTTTGATACTGTTGCCTAGGTGCTGTTGGCTTTGCAGGATTGTGCTCCCCAAAAGATGCCCCATACTCCCCTCAAAATGATTGTGGAGTTTCACAGTTTCTTGCTTAACTCCCCCTTGGTCACCAATGAGATCCAACTATCCTCCACAGCACCAAGTAACTTTTGTGAGCTTCTTGCACCAGTCTTTCTTCAGCATTTTCATGTGTCATGTCTGGTAGTTTTCCATGTCCTGTTCAGTTAATTTAATGTCAAATCAGGGCCTACTCAAGGGCTGCAGTATTAACAAAATGTATATATGTGAGAAAAAGCCACTTGTTAAGATTTGCTGCGAGTACGTACAGCTTGGCAGCTAAGAGTCTTTTTTAACTTTCCAACAGCTTGATCCTGTAGTCCTTAAATATTTTTATATTTATACAAAAATATAAACTTTCAAATTGATAGTATGCCATATCTTATAATCTTTTTATCCATTATAAATTAAAAAGAATTTTACAAATGCAGTTTTGGGAATGCCGTTTTGAATCTCCTTGTAACTTAGTAAATCTAGTCACTGGGGTCACCCGTGTGACTGGAAGCTACCAGGTGTGGGTGGGCAGAGGAAAATACCCAATTCATATACAGTGCAGTGTTGATGCTCTCTGGAAACATAATTTGAAGAGCATTTATTTTGCTGACAAGACTGCTCGCTGCTCTTGCTCATTTTGACTTGTGTACAATCGTTTGGGCAGCTGAGCATAGAGAGAATTGGCGAGCGCAGGCAAGTAGGAATGAGAAGGGAGCAGCGAAGTTGTAATGATTGATTAGGTCAACCATGCTGCTGAAAAAGACGCTTATCAAGCTATGATGTAGTCAGCCGCATTTTTTGTGACATCAGATGTGAAAAATATTGAAGCAAGTAGTTCTCTAAGCAGAGATGTTAAAGCCTACCTCCCCAAGAGCCTATGGTTACGTTCTTTGATGTCTAAAAGGGCCTATGCTCTGTGTAAGGAGTTTTCACCTGGCAGGGACATTCGTAATCTTTTTCCAATATTAATTCTCTGATGTCTCGTGAAGGCTGCAGCGTGAGTACAGTCCTTACCTTTTTATGGTGCCACTAGTAGGATCTGATCTACGTGGCCACTGAAGTCAGCCCAGAAGAAGACAGAAAATTTTTGTGAGTTTCACGAACTGGTCAAATCAGGCTGGAATTTAGTAACTAGTATAAAAGTTACTGGGAAGTGTCTTTGACATATGCACGTATGTGGACAGGTTATGAAAACTTCATTTCCATAGGAAATAAGACAAAACGTCTGATCTGCAACAAATTTTTCCTATTTTTTAGCAGTATGTTTTAAAACTCGCTTAATTTGGTGAGCTGTAGAAATAAACCATACCAGAATGTAAATTGCTAATATCCTGCATGGTTTTAGAATTTTTGCAATAATTTTGCTTTTTAGAGCATGACATTATAAATAAAATAATTAAAATATTCCGTTATATTCCTTCAGATTTATGTTCTGATCCTCTAGTAAAGCCAAATATTGACAATGGATTGCTGTGTTATAGTAGTCTAGAAGCTGTTACTAGTATTCTGCTGTCTGACTGATCAGTAACACTGACTGTGGTACCAGCCTGGTGTGGGGAGGGATTGTTTGTGTGGACTTATCTTGACCATTGATGATTCTGTGCTGAACGTTTGGTTGGATGATTATCCTTAAACTGTTTTGTCATAGGGTGGCCCATTTGTTGAAGTGTTCAGTGCTCAAGGCAAGAACCCAGAAGCAAAATGGAAGATTTTTGGCAATCCATCAGCTATACGGAAAGTAAGTTTTTAAAGAAACTTGTAGAACCTGGAGTAGAAAACAGAAAAATGTGAATGAAGCTTAAAATTAGAAGGTAATGAGGGATTTGACCTGACAGTGGAGTTGTCAGTTGCGGTTCTGTCATTATGACAGAATAAACGACTACTTGAATTCATTCTTTATGCCTGCTTGCAGACTAGGTTGGTCACAGTGCAATTTTGTAGTTTAAATATTCAGGAGGTAATTTTGCTATTCTGATAACTAATGAATTGAGTTGAGCCCGTTGGATCATGAGTCCTGTTTGTCAGCATTATTTGTTCATTAAACAAGCAAGTAAAGGACGTATTTGTATGAATTATATTACTGCCCTCATTTGAACTACTGTCATACTTGCAGTGCTGTTTGCTGTTTGTGATTTAAAAAAAAAAAAAGGTAGCTTAGGTAGCTTTACATGATAGTAGCCTGGTTGGTTGTGAGGAGAAGAATTCTGTCTGGATACTTATGTCTGTTTATTGTTCTTTTTCATAGGAGTATGATAAAGAAGTAAAAGGCTTTGTTTTTGTACTTGAAGGAAGCAGTCAAAACAAAATGCAGCTACCAAAGAAAACTAGACAAACTTGTAAGTATCAAATAATCAAATGTCTTTGATGTAGTTCTGATTATTAAATCAGTTCTATATTGGAATGTAAAACTTGCATTATTCTCCCTGATTTAGGGTGTAATTCAGTATTAACAAAGTGGTCTTTCATTAACTTTGTAGCTGGGCAGTTACAAATAAGTAAAATGTATAGAAATACCATGTTAAAGTAAGTGCTGTAGGGAAGATCCCTGTTGATACATCTTGTCCTAATGGTGCTAAGTTCACTTCTGTACCTGATCCTGCTACAAACTGATGTCTGGCAAATAACTTCTGACTCCATTCAACACTTAGTCAATGATTCTGTTGGCATTACAGAGTGTGAAATAGGTTCCTGTCCCCTTTCTCATTTTAATTTTTAAAGTATTTTTGCTTTTATATATCAAACAAGCACTAGCAGTAAAAGGAAGTCATACCCACATTTCGGCTACGTTTATGTAATCAGTCTTTGATGCGTAATATGGAGTGTTTCCCCAGGTTGCCTATTGCTTGCACAAGAATAAACCAGAATCAAAGCAGTCTGCTTCTCAGCAATCATCATAATTTATGCCTTAAACTACACAGCAGGGTATTGTACCTTATAAGGCTTACAGTAGTGAATCGCGCTGGTTTAGAATGAACTGCTTCCTTTTGAAGAAAAATTGTGATGGTGATTTTAGGCAAATGGAACAGGAATCTTCTAGTATACTTCTCGTGCAGGGCGTATAATTACAAATTAGCTTTTCCAAACATACAGAAAAAATAAAGAAATTATTTAGTGTGGTCATGCTCTAGGGCCTTGAAGATTAATCTGATTTTTATAAAGGAAATTCACTGTTATCTTCAGTATAATAAATATTAGTCTAATCTGTCTGAGAAATGCAATGTTAATTTGCTTATTGCCAATGTTACAATAAACTCTTACAGCCTAAAATGAGGATTGAGAATTAGTGTTGCGGATTATGACTGCTAAGAATAGTTTGGTTTTAAATTTACTTTAGCTAGTGTTGCAATACTACAGTCAAATTTCCATCTGTCAAGAGCATGGGGCCAAGCTCTTTTCAGTGGTGCCCAGCGACAGAACAAGGGGCAACAGGCACAAACAAGCATAGGACATTCCATCTGAACATGAGGAAGAACTTCTTGACTTTGAGGGTGACAGAGCACTGGAACAGGCTGCTCAGAGAGGCTGTGGAGTCTCCTTCTCTGGAGATACTCAAACCCCACCTGGACGTGATCCTGTGCAACCTGCTCTAGGTGACCCTGCTTTGGCAGGGGGGTTGGACTAGATGATCCCCAGAGGTCCCTTCCAACCGCTACCATTCTGTGATTCTGTGATCTGTTACCGTTCTGTCCCCCTCTGTCTTTTCCTCTCTGGAGGTGTACGTACCTCACGTATTTCATTAGTGTCAAGTGTATGATCTCCCAATTCTACTGTAATCTTTGAATACTCTTCCAAAATAAAAGATGTTATATATACAAATATAATCCAAAATTTTAAAGTGTCATTTGACCCACAAAAGAAGGAAGTTCTGAACTGGCGTTCTTTAGAAGAGGAGCTAATGTTGCTGTTGATTCTTAAGTCAATGAAGAGTAGCCTGTGCTCTCCTCAGTGGAGTAACTAAGAAAACAACATCAGGTTCAGTTCAGGCAGCTTTGTACTATCTGTTTTCCTTTGATAGGGAGCTACTTGAATCCTGAAAAATTTCTTTTGTTTGTTCCCTCAGTTAAGCTCCTTTGCAATTGTTCTAAAAATCAGAAGCCTTCACTGAGCATTGTCATGATCTGGATTGCACTTTTACCCAAGGGATTTTTGCAGTTGTTTAACAAGGTGTATATTGTCACAAACATGAGAGCAAGTTTCATATGACTAGAAGATAATCTTGATAGGAAAGTATTACTTTATTTTAGAATTCTTTTGATATATTTGGTGTCTACCTGCTGTTGGAACACAATGTAGAACTGTAAGTTAAAAAAAAAAAAAATGTTCCTTTTATTTTCATGAGAATTCCACCAAAGCCACAGATGGGACTTTTGAAACAACACTTCTGTTGCAATTTGGTTTTCTTCAGGTTTTTCTTGTGTTCACATGTTTTGTGAACATTGGGCAATAGTGTTGTAGGAGCATAGCTGTACAAATTTGAAAAACTTCATGGTGAAATGTGCATCTGCACACACACAGCAGATGTATTTAATGTTTTTTTTTTCCCCTGTTTCTAGTGAGGCTGATCCAGCAATTTCTGACACTTCAGATTTTTGTGCCACTGGGACAGGACTTCTCCACTGAGTTACTGTAAGATGCATAAAATTTTCTTGAATATTTAATGTAAAGTGAATGCCTCATTGCAGCCATTAATTGTAGTGGCAGATTTTGCATTAAAGTAGTGACTTATCAAGGGAATAAGAAGTAATAAAGCTAATAAGATCATTATTTCTTGCATGTTTTAAATAGTGACATTCCTTTGAAGACAGAACAACCTCTAAAAATCGTGAATGAAGGTGAAAAATCTGAAGAAATGGGATGTGAATTTATCAAACATGAAAATATTGGCTCATGAGTCTCCTGAAAATTAAAAAGAAATTTATTTATAATATTACAGGCCCCTTTGGTTCAGGGCAAAAAGAAATACATATTCTAATAATCGATGGAGAGAAAAAAACAACCAAACAAATGGTAAAAATCTAGAACAATTTTGAATGCTCAATTATGTCCATGCTGTAAGGAAAGAGAGATACAGTTGAAACAGACTCCTTTTTTGTCAGTTCAATGTGAAATGATTTAATACACTTTTAAACTTGGACAATTGTTAGTCTTTGGAAACCATTTCTCCCCTAGTGGCACCAGCTGTTTATAACCAGCACAACCCACTCAGCGTTGTAGCCAGTAGAACATCTAAGATTTGGATTAGCAAAAGAAATATTATGTCATTAGAAACCCTGCAAGAAAAGATGGTGTCCTGGTTTCAGCTGGGCTAGAGTTCCATTTTCTTTCCAGTAGCTGCTGTGTTTTGGATTTACTAGAAGAATGTTGATAATACACTGGTGGTTTTAGTTGTTGCTGAGAAATGAAGGACTTTTTTCCATGTCCCGTGTTGAGCTAATGAGCAGGTGTACAAGAGCTGGGAGGGAGCACAGCCAGGCAGCCGGCCCAAGGGGGCCAACAGAAATGTTCCATGCTGTAGATGTCATGCTCGGTATATAAATACGGGTTGGCCAGAGGGCAGGAATCGACAAGTTCTGCGATAGCTGCCTGGGGATAAGCTGCACAGTAGGTTATCAGGTCATGACAAAAATCGTATTGTACGTTGCTTATTTTTCATATTCTTTGTATTTATCATTGCTTCCTTTGTTGTTGCATTAAACTGTCTTTATCTCAACCCACACATTTTTCTTTTTGTCCCTTCTCCTCCTCATCCCACTGGAGAGGTCGAGGAGTGAATGAGCAGCTGCGTGGTCCTAGTTGCCAGCTGCTGAGTTAAACCACGACTGATGAGTGGAACGATATGTAATTAAACTGAGTAAAGTCAATGCAGAATTTTGGGTTTGTTTGTCTTTCTGTAACTTTGCATTCATCTGTACCCATAGGTGTCAGGTTTTTTTGATTGTCTGGAGCAAGGGGAGACGACTCTTGTAGGTTTAAGTCAGAGGACAAAATGAGATGCTGAGGAAATATCATTCCAGCTGTACTGTGGTAGAGAAAGTGTTCATTATGATGTGAATAATCTATTTCATAAAATTAGAATGGTGTAAGTAGAGTCATCTTGGAATATTTTGTTATTTTAACCAAGAATATGCTAGTGTGAGTTGTCATATTTATTAAAATTCCTCTGGAGATTTGTAACAATCCATGCAGGTATTTTAGTCTCAGTGGTTTGTGAGTTAGTGGGCATTTATAACCTACAGCGTGTTGGTAACATTATACTTTGCTCTGTGGCATGCTTAATTTCTAACATGATTTTAGAATCTGAACATTGAGGAAATCTTCAAAGGATAAATTAACTTATTTAGCACAGATCTTTACCAGATAATATTTTCGTTTTTCCGTGGAGCATGAAAATGTGAGAGAACACTGGGCTCAAAATACTTCCTTTAAAGACAGCTTTGACTCTATGGCTTGAGATCTTGATGCAGAAATTACTAACATTTTACTAATTTAAAGTGAGAAACTGTTGTCAGGAAAGCTGGTGTTTTTTGAATAGACCAGAAGACTGCAGCTTTTCAAGTAACTTCCCTGTCCCTCTAATTTCTCTTCCTACCACAGCCTTGATACATTTTCTGTTACGTTTTCCTTTCAAGGTAGTTCTTTTTATTTCTTACCTCATTTTGAATAATTTTTTGCTTGGATATTAAGGTATCTCTAGAATAAGCTTACATGACTTTAAAGCTGCCCTTTGGGTTTTTTCCTGCAACACAAAATTCTTCTTTGAGTCAAATCACACTGACTTTTCGGTTGTTTGAATTTCCTGAGTGTAGTTCTGGTTACACTTTCTGCTCCTATGGCTTTAATTGCTGCATTACTTCTAAAAGTATGTAACAAAAGGGACAAAATGAACAGGATATGTCATGCAGTAGACAGAAACCAAGTACGTAGGTTTGCTTCTCATAGACATTCTGTAGACAGATGGCAGAGACTTAGTGACAGGTACAGGAATTCAGATTTTCTGTAATGTCGTATTGAGTTTGGTTCTTTTGGGTACTTGTAACCCATTTATACGTCTTAACAGGAACCTCTTCTCCACTTCTACTTATTTTATTTTTTCATCACTTCCTTTTTTTGATAACAGAGAGCTGTAATTTGCTACCACCTCTCCCACGTTTCTTTGCCCTTGCTCTTTCCAGGTCATATCTAGACTTTATGTTGTCTTTATCTTTTCTGACTACTTCCTGTTCCCACCATTACTATGTCCCTCTTATAACAATGTATATATATGTACTTCTATAATATTCTTATGTACTTCTGTAAATTTAAATACATGTATTTTGTATGTGCTATATATAGTTTGTGTAAACATATAGTAAATTTATGTAGTAAATATAGTAATACAGTATATTTAAAAAGTTATAACTGTTATTTCTTTCCTGATTTGAAGTTAGTATTATCAAAGAGCCTGATACAAATCCTAATTCTCTCTCATTTTGTATGTGCAGTGATTTCGGTGTCTATGTGGATGAAGTAATCATCTCACTTAATACATATCCATTTACTTTTTACAAAAGAATAGATGTTTAATTCAGTATAACTGTTTCATTACTTAGGTAGGTTATAATCAAATCATACCTTCTCTGATAATTATATCAGTTCATCAATAACTGGAGCTACTTAAAGGTGTATATGCCTACAATCTCATTTGTTTCCCACTTAGTGCAACTGTATGCAGAAGTTAATAAATCTTTAATAATAAATTTAGTACTAAGTTTTGTATTAGAAATCAACTGTAACTTATTGATGTACCTATAAACTACTTCAAGACTTGCAAAAAGTGTATTTTATCCTAGCAGACTGATGATAATTCAGTAAGTTGTGAAGACAAGTTCTGCTTGCTTCATCTGACTGCCATTCAGTTCATTTCAGATGTTTTGAAAAGAATCTCTTGCTTTTTTATGGACAGACTATTGCCTGTGCTGGTGCTTCATGGAGTGTAATGTTCAAAGATGGTTTGTTGCATAATCTGACTGCTTGCTACTGATTTTTTTATTAGCTTCAATTGAAAATTGGTAGCATACCAAGCCATCAAATTTACTTTATGTAAAAAACACTTTGGCAAGTTTTGTAATAGCTGCACATGATGCTTTATGGTACATCTCTTCCTCTCCCCTTCTGCATGGAGACAGAAATATGAATTTAGTTTGAGCCTCATCCTCTCTTTTGCCTTCTGTTCAGTGATTGATCTGATTAGGAAACAAGAATTTCTTCAAGACCATCCATCACTGCTGGTATCAGCTGAGCTAAACCTGCTAACTTACCGCTCTCAACCAGTCATGCGGGATTCCAGTCATAAATACTGAATGTGCAAACAACTGTTTAAATTGGCTGTTTTACCATTTCTTTGGAAGAAATCTGAGTAGAATTTTAGATACTTTGTTAGGTGGCATGGTTAGATGAGTATTACCGGTTAACAACCAGTGTATTCATCTACCTAAAAAAAATGTGTAATATAGATTGTGGATGAAAAATTAGGTAAAGCATACTAAAATCACAACTAAGGTAGACAAAAGTGTGTAATTTATGCAGCCTTTTTGAACCAAATAATAGCAAAGCTGAATAGTAATGCTGAATGTATCTGTCTGTTGTAAATGTAGTTGACAGTTGTTAAATCATCAGTATTATGGATTTTGCTACCTCTCTGAAAAAGCAGAAGTAACTCAAGATTTGAAAAAAATTTTTTTGTGTACAAGTAAACAGCATCTGGCTTGTATTGGCATTCTTGGTTTAGTTGCCAATATATGGACATGTGCAGGTGCTAGCTCTTTTACTTGGCATTTTGTCAAGCACATGAACGTTCTTCTTAAAATACTGTAATACCAGTCATTGTCATACTTTCTTTCCAGTATGTTTCTTTTTGGTGTTAGGTATCACATGAAATTAGTACATCATGATATAATAAGTTTTATAGCAAATGAGTAGAGCTGTTGATGTGAGAAAGCAGACCTTCAAATTGTACCATAGCCTTCAAAAAAAAAGAGCTGTCTGAGGTATGAACAAGGATACGAAGCTCTATTTCTGATCATGTACTGAAATATTATGTGGTCTTGTATGAGTCCCTGAAGGTTGCTCAAACCGTTTTTCCCCGATTCTCTCATACAAGTTATAGGAGCAATGTTTATAATTTTGAGAGTATATTATAGTTAACTAACTTCTTGTATAATATTTTTAAATATATGAAGTGATAAAAATAGAAATTATAGTATATTTTACAATCTGGTGGTTGATCAAGTACATTTTCACTGATATGCAGGCTAGTGTGCACTGATAGGATAATACATCAAATATTAGATCTGTACTATCATTAAATAGAGGTATTCATACACATTAGTGAGATCACCCATTGAACCTTCTCAAGGCTGAACAATCCCAGCTCCCTCCTCCTAGGTCACATGCTGTTGTCTCTTAATCGTCTTCATTATCCTGTGCCAGATTTGCACCAGTATGCCCATGCGTCTCACATCACGGAGCTGAGCACTGGACCCAGTGCTCTGGCTGTGGTCTTACTAGGGCTGAGTAGAGAGGAAGGATCACCTTACTGAACCTGCTGACAATGCTCTTTCTAATGCAGCCAGGATGCTCGTGGCCTT